GTAATCGCCCTACAGCGCTTCTGATGGCTTGGTCACGTTTTGCGTATGCCTGCCCATCGTACTCTCTTTGCATGCACCAGGCAAGGCTGAATGAAGCGCCGCGGCGGTCAGACTATGACATGGTGTATCAGTTGGTGCAGTCCGCGTTGCAGGTCGGGGCCAACATGATGAGGATTGTCGCTGATTGGAGACGCTGAGACAGATACGGCCCAGAATAGAAGTTAGTGTCGCGAACGCAGTACAACCTGTCTGTTAGAATCCCGTGTCGCATCAAAAAAAAATAAAAGAACCCCTAAAACATAATCGAGAAAAATGCACGGTGAACCAAACAAAAAAAAAAAGAATTGTTCTTTTCGTTATTCAACTTAACCGTCTGGCCTCTTTTTACACGGCTTTGCATCCCAACCCTTCCCCTGTTTCTGTTCATCTTGTTGTTGCGTTGACACCAAGCTCGCTCGCAAGCCGGTGATAAACGTATACAAGTTGTCATCACGCTTCCAACCTTCATATCCAACAATGATGATTAGAAAATCGATAATCTCGGTGGTCAGCCGGTGGACTGGTGCAAAAGTTTTGAAATGAATGGTGAGTAGTGGATTGAATCTTGAAAAAACTTCGTACTCTGGATTGATTCCATGTCTATTTCATGTCGTACATTTTCTTTTTTCAAATTTTCACTCCATTTTAATTAAACACATCATGATGAGATTTTCAAGATGAGCGAAGTGGCCAATCAATGGGTTGCCATTTCAACCGATGTTGAGAATGATGGATGTCAAGGGGTAGTTCCGTAAACACGGTTCTTATAGATATTACCCGCTCAATTTATAGGAATTCATCAATCATCGAAACTCGCTTTTAGTTTTTCGTTTCCTTAGTGCAGTGAACTCCCAAAACTAACATCATTGATACCACAGGCAACAATCACTTCTCAATTAACAAAATAAGTACGGAGATTGAGTGACGTCACGTGACTTAAACAGGTTGCTGATAAGCTGCTGTTTTCCCGGATCTGGTGGGGTAGCCGGACGAGCAATGCTGAGGTTAGGCACAGAGTTTTGGATACCCGCGGTCGCCCGCTGGAGCAAGTGGTCGACCTCCATAGATTACGTCGGTTGGGGCATGTGTTAAGCATGTCAACAAATAGGGTATCACAGCGAGCGATGTCTACCGAGGCAGGTAGTGGGTGGATAAAAGCCAAGGGTGGTCAAACTAAGACCTGGCACGAGGATATGAAAACCCTAACCAGGGCACTGGGTCACATAGGTCCCGTTAGGTTCTCTGAATAGGGACCTCGGGATGATCGTAACCGATGTTTATGGCTGGGAGTCGTAAACAGTGGCGTTTGTGCATCTTCTCAATTTCTTTGTAATCATAGACCATTGAAACTCTCCATTTTCTGTTCGACTTTACTTTCAACCTTCCTGTCTTATTCCAATCGTTTGCCCGAATAGGCCGCCAAAAGACAGTAACCAAAGCCGGCGCCCGAAAGTGCATGGTCAATGGTGGCACACACTGAACTGAACGTTCCCGGATTTGGGGGAAATGCGATACAGATGAGAGAGTCTAACAGGGACTTACCGTAATTCGTCAAATTGAACACATAATTGAATTCGGGATCGTAAAACCGACCGGTGTACCGACTCCCGGGCGGAGCACCGAACGGAGGATAACCAGGCAACGGAGGCCGCGGTTCGCCCGGCGCGATCACACGTCCCCCATTGGCCATGGGCAAATAGCCCATACTGCGAACCAGTTCCGGATAGTAGTAGGCCAATCTGGCCGTGTACGTATCGTCCACGGGAGATAGTTCGTTCCGGAGCCGAAGCTCTTCGAGTGACGGGGCCACTCGACCGTCTGGGCCGGGTCGACGCGCGCCCGGTCCGTGCCACACGTGGGCCAGTTCCATGGTGCAGATCGAGTTGAACATGATCCAGCACAGGGTTGGAATGACAAGGAAGGCGAGGAATACGAGCCAGAGCACAATGGCCACATACGTGGTGCACATGAACTGAACAATGAACGGAAGGAGATAGGCGGGCAGAGGACGGAGGGAACGTGATGCAATCGTTAGTGTTGTCAAAGACTGACTGAGCTTAAAGTATGAACAATAATTTATCTCTTGTCTACTTCGATCTTTATAGTTTCTAGATTGCATGATTGTCAATCAAACGTGCTTGACCTTCGTTGCCAAGACTAAGTAATTTCAACATGAAAATCGCAAACTTTATCAAGTACGAAAATGAAATATATCCTAATAGAAATGACTCAAGAATTATTCTAAATTATTTTCATAAACCCTTGCCATCTCGGTTACTTTCTATGAGGCATTATTTTATCTAATATATAATCCATTATAGCAACTCCATTGGATGACCAAATAAAACTCTTTCACAACCCGGAGAAATTGCATTAAATAAGGTTTCATAATAATAATCTATGTTTGATAGCTAACTCATTGAAGTCGAGAAATGCCACCAATCAAAGTCAACCTTGAAATCAAGATCATTTTCGTGCAGACAAACTTTACATCTTACTCATTATCAATGTTAATTTGTTGTCAATGAAAACGGTTCCATTCTCTTTAATTACCTCTTAACTCACCGTGATCTAGTTCAACCACTACTGACGAAATGAGAGTATCCGCTATATTCTGAACCATTCCATCTGCTGAGTACAAACGAATCAGA